CTGAAGCCATGCTCATTCTTTTGCAACTGGATGTTGATAGTGACAAGAAAGAGTCCTGAAAATGTCATTTTTTGGACCTCTATATAGTGAATTAAATAAAGGTGTGTGACCCTGTACGTGTTAAAGAACCTCAAATATTCATCTGGAAAACTGTGACAACAGCATAAGAATTTTGTGAAAACTTTAAAAAAAAGTCATATATACAAAGAAAGAAGACCAAGAATTCTTAAGATGTTCCGTTGATGTGCATCTTTCTCTTACAACAATTGCAAGATTCAATGCTCAGTAGAAAAAGTGCTCATCAGTTGCCAAATTAATCTTGTACTCTCTATAACATGGTCACATCTAGTTAACAGCACAATATACTTAGAACAATATTAAATCTAGTTCAAGTCTCTGATAAAATGGTATCAAATTAATAACAGGCAATCATTTAAAAATAAGTAACTTTGAATTTATTCTGATTGCTTTTTCCTGGTCAAGTTTTAAAGGTTGAAGTTGGCATTTCCTGCTCAAAAGGGAATGGGTACACAAAAGTTGAAAAGGGAAGAAGAAGAAAGAGGAAGAGGAGGAAAAGAAAAAGAAAGGGAAGAAAAAAGAAGAAGAAGGGGAAGAGGAAAAGAAAGAAGAAAGTGCTTGGGAAGACCATAACAAAGGTCTTACACAGGCTGCAAAGTATGCTTTCCAGAAAACTGAACTACCTGGTTCTTTTTCTCCGTAACTAACGGTGTGCTCAGTCCGAAATCACCTGGCAGCAGTGCAGCACTGCAGTTGCCTTTACACACTCCGGGTGAGGATCCGGACTACTTACTTCTTTGTCTTCAGGGAAAATTTGCTCTCAGGGACTTGAGGAAGGAAAGCTCTCTGTGCCTCTTTTAAAATATGTCTCCAATGGGAACTGCCTAGCTCTCAGCTAGTTGAAGCCCACAGGCTTTTATACATCAATCAGACTGATATTCTGTGGGCCATGTGGTGGGTGCTATTGGCCTCTTGGCACTGCCAAATGTTTTGGGGCCATAAAAACCTGCCAAGCAGAGGCTGAGTACCATGGTGAGAGAGGAAAGAAAGAAATCAGTGAAGGGAATTTTTTTCTTCCTTCAGAACTCCAAACTAAAAGCAAAGCCCAGTGACACTATAAGTGCTACAAACACAGGCATGAGGGGAAAACATCCACAATCATGTATGTGCAAGCATGCACATACACAGAAATGCACTTGTAGAGAATATGGCATGCCAAACACTTTGAATGTTGTACAGGGCCAATTGAGTATGATGTAGTCATTGTTACTACTCCCTTCAAGACAGGCCAGTGCCCATAATGGATCAGTCAAAAGAGCTAAACACATCCATAAAATGTTATCAAGGATTGGTCGAATTGTATGAGGGCTCAGCTTTGTGTATTCAAACTAATATCCACAAAAGAATCAAAGAATGGGAACCAGTTAAGACCATAGTACCCAGGCATAGAAAACAGAGGGAAGGGTTTCTAACAATAGTATACTAAGCAAAATGTGGGACAAAAGCAGGTAGCAGCTGAATAAAATAACACAGAAACCAGAAAACCTTTCAGAATGTGCCTCAGCGTGGTGATCAGGCTCTCCGTGTTTATTTAACACAACTTAGACTGGACCTACTTGCTTGACATCTGTGCTCACGGGAGGCTGTTCGGAGTAGTAACTTGTGAATGGCAGTCTCTACCAGGGTGCTTCTTGTACACAAGCCTAATTCATTGCCCTGCTCAATTTTCTCTTCAAGTTATCACACTTGAGACATATTTAGAGTCTTGGAATGTGAGAGCAGGAAGGAATGACAGAGATCAACCAGCCCAACCTCCTCATTTTACACTCGCAAGTGACAACTGCATTCCCGTTTGTCACTGGCCTTGCTTCTGGCGTGACAAGGGTTGCAAAGACGGGGAAAATGGAGAATGTTCCTTTTCTCCCACATTCTCTGAAAGGCCAAGGTCATGGTCTCCCCCTCCCCGCAGCCAGCCCGACACGCAAACAATAGCTTGAACTATTTCCATTCTGCTTATAAAGCAATGGCGTTTTGTTGCTGAGGGAAGAACAAAACTCTGGCCTCCCAGCAGTAGAGAGATTTATAAGAGCTCAAGGAAGGTCAAAAGGGTAAATTACCCTGTGACTTGTATGTAATCAGCATCTTCCTAGCATACTACAGGATGAGGCTGATTACATGGAAGGCAAAGGTGAAGACACAGGGGCATAAATAACCACAGAAAATAAAGCCAAAACCATTTACGGTCCTCATCTTTTCTTTGGCTGTTACACAGCACTCTGCTGAATCTTTTTTGTAAAGAGCATTTAGGAAGAACAAGCCTTCAGGATTCTTCCCCAGGTTCCCTAGTAGGAAGTGCTTTTATTCTGCGGCATTTTCACTAGCTTTAAAAGTCATGAAAGTGTATGATCATAGGCTGGAAAAATCCTTGAGAATGGGGAACCGTAATTACTGAGGTATCACTTCTGTCCAGAAGTAGTAGGGGAGGCTTCCGGGAGGACGTGTAACTTTCCTTTCCCTCTCCCCTGTGTCATTCTTTGTTTCCTTTCATAGATGACTGAGACATTACATCCAGGCTAAACTGAGATAAGCCAGTCTCTCTCTCTCATTCACACACACACACACACACACTCTCTCTCATTCTCTCTCTGTCTCTTTCTGTCTCCCCCCCTCTCACTCACACACACACACACACACACACACACACACACACAAACACACACACACATACACACACACAAACACACACACTTCCAAGCACATAAATCCCAAGTGATGTCACATCATCACAGCCTGGGAAGTTGCTGTCTTAGATAGCCCCACTTTGGCGCTCACCACCTTGTACTGGAAGGGCTCGCTGGATGACAGTAAGCTCCATGAGAGCAGATGCTTTGTCTAACCTAGCACTGTATGCCCTAAACCAGGCATAACACCCAGCAGAGAACAGGTACCCAATAAGTAACAGCTGAGTAAGTGAATAGAGGACCCTGGAAGCAGTTCCTTGGAGATTTTTGTGCACTGATTCTACAGCAAACTGAGAAGGACATAGCCTTAGGCAGAATTTTGCGTACCACCTTGACCTTTTTGAGGGTCACTGTCTTTCTGCCTTATTCATTTAGGGTCCCATGGTTTAGCAAAATGTAGTGCTTGAGTACTGGTTTAAAGCCATAATGAATACTTCACTGAAACCATTTACTAAGGTGATAACAGACATAGAAAGTTTAGGACTGCCTCTTTCTATGCACAAGTCCTTTTAAAGTAACAAAGTTAATAATTAATTGTAACTCCACAATAAATTATAAATCTCTACATAAATGCTGTGTGCAAGATATTATACTGACATTTCCCTTAAAAATAATGCATACAAGAAATTCTTATGACAGCAGTTTTCTCATAGAGCCACCAAGTATAGGTCCTCACTCAAAAGTGGCTATCAGCTAATGGTCATGATATATAAAGATTATCAGCACATTTACCATTCAGGGCATTTGTAGATGTTTTTGTTGAAAGGAGAATCATTTTGTAATTCATATATTCATCTATAAAGCCTTTGTTCATGAGGAGAAGTGATCATGTCCATATTTCTCATTAGTACTTTGGAATTCTACACAAATTGCAATATGGACTTAGTAGATGCTTTTCGTGACAAGCCTTTGTTAATTATACAAAGTGTTGGTAAATGTACTTACATATCCTGTACAAAAGTGACATTTAAAATTTTAAAAGTATTTCAAATTGGAATGAGTTATGCACATGTACTAATTCCACATAGTGAACATGGTCATTACTACAGAAATATGTACTCATAAAAGAAAACAACTTAAAAAGCATTCTAAGACAATCTGACTCCTCTGCTTTTCTCCTGTTGCAAACATAATTAATACTACGTTCTGCAAATCCTTACCTCCCTTTCTCATTCTGAGGTCCGTACCCCGCTTTCAGCTGTTGCAGGTCCTGGTCTAACTTTGAAATTATTCTTCTGACCTCTGTTTTCTTCCCACCTTAGTCCATTACCCAAAGCACCAAATGGTTTTTCTAAATACAGATTCTGTCATGTCATGTCTGCTCAAAGCCACATTGTCTTCAGTCTCCTTAGTTTGTCAGTGAAGCCCTTCCTAATTCACCTGCAGCCAACGATGAGGTATCCTTGTCTTCTTGCTCTTAGAGTTTGGGCTGGAGTCGCATCGGATATCCCACCACAACCAAAACACGCCACACACATGCATAGCCCTATTTTGGGTATCTAAACTTTTCTTATCCAACTTTTACAATTCTGCTGGTCCCTCCAGGTCTAGCTCTAGTGCGTATCTTACTATTTCTTCCTACTCAGACTGAGACTAGGCTGCCTCTTCATGGCCTTTAAAGCTCTGCTGTAGCATTCATTTTATGTATGACTTTATGCACTACTTGATTGTGAACTTCTTAAGGATTAGAGATGTATTTTTGCATAGTATTTAGTAAGTGCTTGTTATATGAATGACTGAATGAATGAATGAATGAGTTGATTATTTCCTTCTGCTATGGATGTCAGTCAATATTCAGATAGTCCTTTTACTTTCAGGAAGGTCTTTGTTTTCATACAGTCTAATGAGTTTACTGGCGGTCTAAGAAAAAAAGTGTAATAAATGGGAAAGTATTTTTAAGGAGGCATGTGTGGGCATTAGCTTAAACCTTTTAAGACAGATGTGGCACTCTAGAGAACATTGCAAATGAGCATAATTCATAAAAATTGTTTGTGGCATAGTAGATAGGATTGGAAATTTTTTGTTTATCTCTGGAGACAAGAAGGTGATGACCTATGTTTCATATCCCCATTGCTAGTGTTCATCATAGGAAGAAAAACCTCATCAACTTCTTTTATCTAGACTTCTGTGTGGTATCCTCTAAAAAGTGAAATGAAAAACATTTTAATATTTACTGTTCTTGATTTTTATGAGATTTCCAAGTATCTTGCAGTAACATGGTTTAAACACTAAACCTCTTAGATGCTTTTATGATTAATCAACATAATTATCAGGCTTTTACATCATCATGTGAGATGTGAATTCCCCAAATCTTATTACAGCACTGGTGCATAACACATCTGACATGAAAAGACAAACTAAAATTGCTGCTTGCAAGTAAAAATTTTGTGTCCAACTTACAGAACTCGAAATTTCTGCATTGAAAATTTAATCCACAGGTTTCCTTTGGAATAATTAGAAACAGCACAGTTGTTAAAATAGGCCACAGGACCATGCCTTTTTGAGTTACATTTGGTCTTAAGACCAATTTTATCCAATACAGATGACAAATTCAAGAAGACTTTGATATCATTACTACTTATAAAAATAGCCTTTCGTAATATCACACATGTTGCATTTTTAACAATCCACACAACATTTTTAAATCTCCCAGCTCCAAAGATAACCAAAATTAAAGGTAAAACATTCTTGTCTGTTTAAGAATTAAGCCAGACACCTATGAAATTATTTACCAAATCAGCTTCTAAAGTTTAGTCTCATAGTCATTACTTGGTTTCATTTTTTGTAGCAATCATGAGTGGAATTGGGGCTTATGAAGAAAAAAGCCAAACAAAGTGAAACAGATAATGCTAGAAGTTTTATAAGTCATAAGCTGGCTCTCTACTGTGATTCAGCAACTTTTGCAGCTGCAAACTAAAAGTTACTGGATCCGCAGCCATCTGACCAGTCCCAGAGCTGAAAGAAAAAGGCTTTCTGTACCTAAATCTACTTCTTTTTCATGCTTGAGGAAGCAATGCAGCTAGAAGTGGGCTTCTCCACCCTTCAGGCTTCTGTACTATTTGGCGCTATTGGAATTTTTTCAGGCAAAGAATTCAACAGGCAGGATGCTTAGTGCTTTTCTTTTTTAAACCAAAGTGAACATAAACCTTAAGTATTGAAATGAACATAGAATTTGAGCTTTCTATGTCACACCAATGTTTTAACAACTCTGCAATTACTGTTGTCTTTTTTAGGTCTGGGAGACCAAATACATCAATCAAATTCAAAGTTACCCCTCCAACTTGTTCCCTTGTATTCTAAATAAGACCCAAGTTTTATGGGTCAGACACAAGCAGAAAACTCATATGAGGTACATGGTGTCAGGGCTTTGAATGCTCCAGGCTTCAAGAGCAGTGGTAAGGTTTCACTCTGAGCTCTCTGTGGGTACTTTACAAACGTTTGCTAGAAGTCTGTGCATGGAGTCTGGGGAGATTTTGCTTGTATAGGGCTGGCATGGTGAGATCTTTATAATTTACTGTTGAAGTAATTTTGCTGTGAATTAAAAAAAAATCTTATCCAGGTGCCATTTAACAGAAATCAATTTTTGGAAACAAGTTTACTTGCAATTACACAATAGAATGTAATAGAGATATTCTGATCCTCGGAGTTAGGATTTCATCATTTCTACCCCTGTTGTAACTTACCGTGTCAAGCTTTCCATGTTCTCTTCACCTCCAAATGCTTCTGTTTTTGATGGTCTTCAATGAAAGGAATTCTACTCCTTCTGTTTTAGGGCAGCTCTGATGAATAAATCTGGTCCCATTGAAAGTTATTCTTGTGGCCCCAGCACAGGTGAAACAGGTATAAGTGGAGAGCTCTAAAAGTACACAATTTCTTTCCCGCAAACCATACCCATATTATGGTTTTAACCTGCCATAAGAAATCAGATTTCTCTTCACACATTGCAAAATCATCTGACCACCGTCGCCAGTGACACACTATGGAGATTACAGCAGGCTATGCATGAAACAGGGGCACAAACTTCTCAGCTCTGCCACAGACTCAGTCTTGAGTGCTTTTTATTTTCCTTAACCATACATCTGAATTTGCTAAAAACAACTGGTGAAGGTGTAAATCAAAAGTACTTAAAAGGAGAAGTGCCCATGCTTTAACTTCGTTCAAGATTCCATGTGAAAGGACAACATAATACGACTCAGGTTGTCAGGTCAACAGTACATTGTAGGATGCTCAAAAAACAGCGGTCATACCTAGAAACATCTTCGTTGTGGAGAAAATCTCACCTCATGGAGTTACTGGTGTCAGAGTCACATAGTGGGTTATGCAACCTGGGAGGTTCACTGCAAACTGAAAATGCAAGGTCCCTTGTTAGAAGTAATCCATAATTTCATGAGCCCTCAGAGCCTTCAGAGCAGAACCGGAAAAAGTGCCGGTTGTAAGCTCAAGGCCCTGTGTGGCTGAACAGTTGCCATGAAGCTGGCCCCGCACATATCTAAGACCTGGGTGGCCTGTGTAGATCCCAGGTAAGCCGAGATGACCTCACTGTGTGGCCTCAGGTATGCCTCTCAGGCCCAAAGCCTTCCAAAGTCCTCTGGCTTTAGAACCGATGGAGAAAGCTATCCTGTTTTTCTTTTTCTTCATACACATTTGTAGTATGTGATGTTTATGTTCATCTTAGGAAGCAGGTACACATACTTAGCATATCTTACTGTTTTTAATTCTGCCACCTCCCTATGCTCTTCCCTCCCTCACTTGCTAGATCCTCTCCCCTCCATTTTTTGTCAATGCATAATGACACATTCACTGAAAAAGGGGACCAGAATTCCAAATGTAGTGGAGAGAAAGGGGCTTAAAAGGATTCGGGATATGTCTTAGACCTGTACTAATCACCCACAGTAGATTTAATCATTATGAGTTTCAAAAATTTTTAACTACTGTAACTTATACCTTTTCCTACAGAATATAGTATTGTTATGCTAGGGATCTGCTCAGGAGGAAAGATGGGTGAGTTAGTAAACAGCTCTCTGAGAGAGCAGTCTGTGCTCTCAGTCTGTGGACAGTCTGTGAGTCAGCATGGGAGGAGGACCTCTTGGCTTCATCTATTCTCTACTTCCCTAATCACAAGGACTCATCCACTTCATTCTGAGTCTTCATCTCGGCTTCCTGGACCGAAGGCTCCACTCTGCCCAAACGCTCAGCTCTGTGTTTCTGCCAGATGTCTCATTTCTGCTCTATTAATCCAAGGAGATCTCATGACGGAGAGGGGTAGGATATGAGCTGAGATGCAGGCAGAATTGATCTCAAGTGGCACCTTTGCCACTTTTTGTTATGTATAATGAATCTGTGTTAGAAACTACTAATTCAGCCCTCTATATAACATAGTCACATGTGAAGTACTCCGTAAGACCTTCACGCTAGGATTAGTGGGTTGGCAATCTTTGTTTTACTGGAAAAGTCTTCCATAATCTATAATATCAAGTTCAAAAATTTCTTATTATGGCTTTTAGAAGTATCAAGAAGTAAATTAAGCCCGTCACACCGTTGTCTTCCCAGGTCCCTGTGCGCATATTCCCTTCTACATTTTTCAAGCTTTCTGATTTCCCAACCTTTTCCTCAATTCAAGGCTCTTTTTGTGTCCTGCCTGCTCCCAAGCTGCCTTCTCAGATAATACCAGTCTAGTCCTTATTGATCTTTTTCTTTTCTGATCCTGACCTCCGGTATCCTTTTCAAGGATAAGTAGCTCATCTGCCCAAATTGGTTATAAATTCCCAGAAAGAGGGTACCTTATCTTATTTCAAGCATATATTTGAACTTTCCCCAGCCCACAGGAGGTCCTCAAAGCAGCTTCGGCAGACAGCAAGTTTTTGCTTTTCCTTCAGCCTCTTGCTGCATTGCTGGAGACCTTGGCCTTCACGAACACTTGTGGATTTGTTTTAGATGTGCACAGCATCTGCTCAGGCATTGAGCACACAGTGAGCACTCCATAAATCATATTTTTAGAGACAATCTGTTACCACATAAGGACTACCAGAAATTACTCATACTCTTAGTGTAAATGGATTTATACAATTGTGTTTAAGAGCTGAAATAAAGATGAGGGAAAGAAAATCATAAGAGTTCTTTGTTTCAAAGCCAAAAGGAGCATGAGGACGTCTAACCAAATTGCTTTCACCGGTGTATCACAGAAGAGACAGGAGGTTTGTTAGGAGGTTTGTTAACAAAATATATTTGTTATTAAAGACAATGTTTCAAGTCTGAGAATGATTTACTATTTTTAATGAATTAAAGTACATTTCAACTCCCTTAGTAATGAGCTTATTTTTATTCAATTGCTTTCTTGAGTGGGAAGCCTGAGTCTAACTTTAGATGAGACATCTGATACTCAGAGGAGGGAAGGGTGTGGCCCAATGTCACCCAGAATGTCACCAGCAGCATGGAAGCTAAAGGTCTTCTTGTCTTCAGGTCCTCTTCCATCAGTGAATGAAAAGGAATCAGTGTGACTGAAGCATAAATCAAGACACAATTTGGTAAAATTGAAATTCTTACATAATGAAAATATTTGCCTCCTGGTTAAAGTTCAATCAGGGTTTGGAGAAGCAAGACAAGAGGGATTTGAGAAACTCTCTGCTTCCTCACTCTCTGGTACAAATCACATGAGAATGCACATATTTATATTTACCCTTTTCTCCTATGACTTTACTTTGTCTTTATACAAACATCTATCCTTGGATATTTGGTTTTGTTCTAGAAGGACAGAAAATCTGATTCAAAAGCATCAACACAAGCAGCAGTTCCCCTGTGTTAATGTGCAAGAGCAAAAGACTGATTTATTCTTAAAATTTAATGCTTAAAGTGTTTGCATAGTAGAACCAAATTCCTGATGAACCTGCATAAATCAAAATTTGAATGAATGCAATTTAGAACTAATGAGATTCTTTCAACATGCCCTCCCAAACTGTTCAGATTATTATTTAAAATGTACTTGCTTTGCAGAGATAAATAAAATATATTTGGCTCCACATTTTCAAGTTCAACATGTGAAATGTAATCACATCATAACCTGTAGTATCCCAGTAAGTACCATTTTGACTTTTAATTTTTAAAATGGTGGTTTGGACAAGGATAACTTGTATTTCCTTCTTTCAGGACTTTCTGTAATGTGATGGGAGACAATGCATAGCGAAGAGTTACTGGATTATTTTCTTTTCTTTATTAATGCTTTAATAAATGCCTCAGAAACCTCTGTAAAGCAGGGAAACTTTCCAAATGGATATTTTTTTCTCTTTCCACTGTTGCAAAAGATCATGCTGACTGAATATTACAAGATAGAAGGCTTTATTTCATTGTT